TCAGCAAAGTTCCACAAGAAGCCTTGCCCCAAGAGCTTCTTGCTTCATTCACAGGCAGGTCACATTTCATTTCTCTGGATGTCACCTGACGCTTCATAATAATCTGGTTCATAGGAAGCAATGTTCTGATAATGAAAAGAAAATGGTTTCTGTACAGCAGAAAGTAACACAACATTATAAATCAATAAAAAATTTTAAAACACATCAATTTTTCCTTTTCATATGTTAACTATTTTAAAATTCTCTTTAATGCAAATAAAATGTACTGTTATTGTAAAAAATTCTAACATGCACACACATAATATAGATAGTGACAGTCTCATTCCTTTTCCTGTTGTCTCCCCAAGTCAAGCTTTCTCTCTATACACTAATGTAATATTATTTACAAAAAATGGAATCATGAACACTGTTTTGCAAATTGTCTTTTTGTTTTTCTTTTTTCTTTTAAATTAATTAATTTATTTTAATTGGAGGATAATTACTTTATGATACTGTGGCGGTTTTCGCCATACATTGACATGAGTTTTTGCTAACCAACCACTATAATCCAGGTATTTTTTCATGTCACAGCATACACATGTGCTTTATCCATTTTGACAGCTACAGGGGAGTCCATTATATCACGATATCATAATTTATGCCACTCCTATTGATGGGCATTTACCTTGTTTCCAATTTTTTGATATGTAAACAATACTGCAGTGAACATCCTTGTATATATCTTGCATATTTGGGTAAATGTTTCTAAATAATACATTCTTAAAACTAACTGCTTCAAAAAAAGTTAAGTGTACAAATGTAAATCTTAAAAGAGATTTGAGATTGAGATTGCTGGCTCAAAGAGTATTTTAGTAGACACTGCCAAATTATCCTCCAAACTGTCAAACCAGTTTATAATCTCACCAGTGTATGAAAGCAGATGTTTCCTCACTCTCTAGCTAGCACTGGGCAGTCTTTCTGTTTTTTAAAAAAATCTTTCTCATCTTATGTAGATGGAGAGTTCTCAGATTGAGCAAGTAAAAAGTAGAATGTCTAGATAAATTTGAATTCAGATAAAAAGATCAACCATCTTCATCTGTGAACTGGCTTCCATGTCTGGTCTCTCCTTTGGTATCACCAGTGAAGATCAGTGATCTTCTCTGATAATCAACACTTATTGTAGACATTTTTTTCACCCTAAATGGATGAGAAATACTTGCTATTTAAATTTGCATATTCTTAAGACTTAGTGGGATCAAGGGAACTTGCCTGGCAGTCCAGCAATTAAAACTGCTTTTCAATGCATGGGACTCAGGTTTGATTGCTGGTCTTCTCTTCTATATCCGTCTTTTCTTTTTTCCTTCTTCCTTACTTCCTACCCATCCTTCCAGACTCCTATTTAGTGATCAAGAGTAAAAAATTTGCTAGAATTATTAAAATTGAAATATAGAGGTAAACATGCAAACAATGTGATTGGAAGCTATATCTTCTGAGAGAGTGCATTGTGACTAAAATGACTATTCTTTATCAGTTCTTGACTTTAGGGAGAAGAAAAAAAATTTTTAACTCGATTCCTCCTAACATTAAAGAAGTCCTCTTTATTACAGAAAATTTTAAGCTCTTATAAAAATAGAGAGAGTAATTCTCACGTCCCATTGCCCAACCTCAGAAATTATCAACATAGGGTCTATCTTGCTTTATCTATGTGCCCTATTTTCCTCTACCATCTCCCATTTCCCCAGATTCAAAGCACATCCCAGGAGATTGCTAAATTCATTTGAGATCCAGAACTTTAGGATTTTGGGTTTCTGATTGTGTTTTACAACTTATTTCCAGAAAAATATTTACTCATGTTTTTTCTAGCTAGTCCCCATATAATCTCATTTTCTCTGGTTTCAACCTTAAGAATTTGAAGTCTATAATTTTTTTTTTTTAAACCAAAGACAAAAATCAGCTGGGGACATTTAGGATAATGCTAAGGAGTAACTACCTGAAATGTCCTCTACTAGAAATTTCAAATACCTTTTCAATATTCCATCAAACAGGACTTAATACCATAATTTTCTTAGATTTTCTTACATGTTACTAATTTTAAACACCTGTTTCTTATCTCAGTTTCACATTCATGCCACCTGATGTTCATAAAGTCTTAAATTACTCTATTTAGTTAAAGAAAGGAGATTTGAGGAATATTTAGGCATGAGCATCAGACAATTATAAATACTGAGACTTTGAATATGAGAAGTATTATTGAGGCAGAAAGATGGTCTGAGTTACATTGTTCGTCGACTCAGCATCTAGCTACAGTCCCTTAATCTCCTACCTATAAAATACGGATAGCAGTGCCGACTACACTGCTTAGAAAAATGAGACTTATACTTTGATCTTTAAAGGAGTGAGTTGCCTAATTAGATGAGTTTCCTTTAATTATTCTTCATGTTTATCTCAATGAATTAATCTTTGGTGGGCTTCCCTGATAGCTTGGTTGGTAAAAGAATCTGCCTGCAAGGCAGGAGACACTGGTTCGATTCCTGGGTTGGGAAGATCCCCTGGAGAAGGGGATAGGCTACCCGCTCCAGTATTTTTGGGCTTCCCCTGTGACTCAGTTGGTAAAGAACCCATCTGCAATTCCGGAGACCTGGGTTTGATACCTGGGTTGGGAAGATTCCCTGGAGAAGAGAAAGGCTACCCACTCCAGTATTCTGGTCTGGAGAATTCCACGGACTGTATAGCCCATGGGGTCCCAAAGAGTTGGACAGGACTGAGTGACTTTCACTTTAATCTTTGGTAAATATTCTATTTGTAGAAGAATGAGGAAGTAGAAATCAAGGCATGGTAGAATATTTTTAAAGTTTTTATCATTCTAAACAGAATTCGCCACTTAAATGTTTAAAAAATATTTTGAAATAAAATTCACATAGTACTCACCAAAATCATTGTAAAAATGTACAATTGAATGTTTTTAATATATGCACAAGACTGCACAATCATCATGACTAATTCCGGAAAACTTCATCACCCCAAATTGAAAATCCCCTTCACATCACCTACCAACAACAAATCAACTGTTTTTTGTTTAACAGATTTGCCTGTTCTGGACATTTCATATCAATGGAATCATACAGTATGTGGCTTCTGTGTCTGGCTTCTTTCACTTGGCATATGTTTTCAAGATTCGTTCATTCTGTAGCACAATCAGTAGTTATTTCCTTCTTCTGAATGAATACTATTCCATTATTTAGATAATACGTTTACTCATTCATTCATCAGTTGATGAATATATGGGTTATTTCCTTTTTGACTATCATGCATAATGCTGCCATGAACATACACGTACATTCAAGTTTTCATGTGAATGTTTTCATTTCTCTTTGGTACACATCTAGGAGTGTAATTGCTGGATCATTAGAGTAACCAATCTTAACTCTTTGAGGTATAGCCAAACTTTTTTTCAAAGTGGCTGCACCATTTTACATTACTGTCAGCAATGTATGAGGTTCACAATTTCTTCATATCCTCACCAACTTACTTTTGGTTTTGTTTAAAATTATAGGCATCCTGGGGTGTCAAATAGTCTCTTGTTGCTGTTCTGCTTTGCATTTACATAATGGCCAATGATGTTGGACATCCCTTCATGTACTTACTGGCCATTTGTATTTCTTTGGATAAATGTCAATTCAATCCTTTGCTCATTCAAAAACTGGGTTGTTATTTTGATTATAAGGATTCTTTGCATACTTATGGGAGATCTTACTTAAAATCAACACAGAAATAAGACCTGACAAAAGGCTAGATTGACTCATGATTATGTATTTTAAACTCTTGTATTTATCCATGCATGAAGTCAGAATTACCTCTATGAACTTTAGCTTTACGAATACATTCTTAGGGGCTAATCTAATGGAATAATGGAGGAATCATCTCCCATGCCAGGGTTCAAGTAGAATGGGACTTCCCCCTCATTCTTTTTTCTGATCTATCCCCAAGCCTATTCCTACTCTACACTGTGGCCACTGGGCTAGAGGTAGGGTAAAGCTGAATGATGCCTGGCATAACCAGAAGTGCCATCTCCAACACCCCCAACCAGATCCCCTGGCAGAAATTTCAGACCATAGAGAGTTTTGCATACCTCCATGTTTACAAATGTCACAACCTAAAAAAATAAAGCAACAAAGTAAAAATTAACCAATCCACCAGGCAGGTAGATTAAAAGTATCTTAAAGTACTAGTGGCTAGTTATCACTTTCCAGAAGGTATAGAATCTGCATCAGGCACAGGCATGGTTTCCATTTTTAGGAACTTGTAACATATTAGTATTATGTTTTCAAAATACTTTCCTACTTACTGTTGTTCCTAGGTTGCCAAGATGGTTTAGCCAACAAGGCCTTAAAAATTAAGTACCACAAATGGCACCCCACTCCAGTGTTCTTGCCTGGAGAATCCTAGGGACGGAGGAGCCCCGTGGGCTGCCGTCTATGGGGTTGCATAGAGTCGGACACGACTGAAGCGACTTAGCAGCAGCAGCAGTGTTCAAATTAGATGACTCAAAAGTAGAGGGCTGGGATGTCCCTGGTGATCCAGTGGCTAAGACTCTGTGCTTCCAATGCTGGGGCCTTGGGTTCGATCCACGGTCAGGAAACTAGATCCCTCATGCTAAAACTAAGATCCAGCACAGTCAGGGAAAAAAAAAGTAGAGGGCTCACCATGTGGATTTGAACAAGACAGCCTGAGGGAGACGGTAGAGAAATCGGGAGTAGTGTGCAAAACTGCTGCAAACATGCATCCTCTATGTGTCTTTGGAACATGCACAAGGGATTGAACATTATTCTATGTGAAAACTAACGACACTGTGGTAGTTAGGCAGAACAATACTTCAGATACGATCTTGGCCATCTGACAGCTTTGGTATGTTCAATGACTGCAAATCAGAGGTACATGGTCACAATACTATGGAGATACATTAATTGTAATGAGAGAGTTCCAGGGGCTTCAAGACAAAGAAACCCATCAAGAGGCAGAAACAGCATATGCAGACTACATTTATTCAGTGCTTACTGGACACTGGGCACATCAGATACAAAAGAGCTGGGTTGGGGGAGGTAAAAATTTAATATACACATTAATTTTACAATTCTAACTACTAGGGGAAGTACAAAATTTGTACAAGTTATACTTTATAATGAAATTTCAATGCCTGTCAAAAGGGTAGGCTATACATACAATGCAATAAAAATGTTTTAAAATTGTGCTTAACATCACAGAACTATTCCGAAATGGGTTGGTAAAATACCTATACACCATTCATTCTTATTATACACATATATTTCACATTAAAGATTGCTGGTAAAGTACAAATACTTTGACCCCATTGCTGAAAAATCCATGCTCGACAACTATATATAAAGTTCCTCTTAGAAACAGTGCATTTGTAGTCCATCTCTCCTTTAAAGTTCACCTTATTTTCAGCTTAGCTTACTATCAAGTTGTCTTCAGAACTGTTTATATTTCTTTTGTCTGATCATCTTCTTCCAGTTTCCTGATTTCATTTTTTAAACAATTTATAGTTTCACGACTTGCTTTTAATCTCTCTTTAAGCTCTGCAATTTCAAAGCTTGTTTTTTTTTTGGCAGCTTCTAATTTTTCTCTGGTTTTCACTTCAAGTTCTGCAACTAAAGAAAACAGACTGTTACAAATTTATTGCATTTTTCTCATATGTCCGAGATATGTCACAGAGTAATAAATGTGACATTCCATTAGGTCAACGTTTCCATGATGAAATGCAAACAACTTAAGATATGTAACTTTAAACACAGGAGGGTGGGTGAGAAAGTCTGAACTCTCAAGAGAGGATCTAAGATGTTTTCTATCACAAAGAATAAAATTCGGGCCACTAGTATTTTAATTCACACTTAAGATTTTAAGACATAATGTCCTTGTTTTTCTCCATTTACATATTAATTTGGAAATTAGGGAGTATATAGTCCAAGAGACTTCCAATTAATAAGACTTCACTAAAAAGAGTATTCTTAAATTTATGTACAGGTAAAACTTACATGAACAAAATCACACTGGTAAACCTGTATCTTTTTTTCAAAACAGAGTAGTAACTGTCTAGGCTTGAATTCTAGCTCTACTAGTTGTGCCACTCTGAATAAGCTATTTTTTAATCTCCATGCTCATTTCCTCACTTCTAAAATACAATTATAATTGCAAACACCCTGTGATATTATTTGCTTAAAAGATTTAAAATTAGTATCATCTGGCACATAAAAAACATATTAAATACTATTATGACAGAGGAACATTAAACATTCTAGCAGGCTACATAACAAATTACTAAAGAAAAATATCATTACTGCAAAATAGACTGTATTTATTTAAATATTCCACTTGGATAGTGTAGTACCACGTTTTATAGAGAAAAAAACGTCTACTATCACCCAACATTTCCACCTTGTAGACATTTCAGGTAATTGCTGCTGATGACTGTTAAGGCACAGTTGTACTTTTGTTAATGTAAAATGATCACTAGCTGGAAGCAGCATGGATTGAAGGGAAAAAACCCCAAACCCTTTGAAATCAGAAAGACTTGAGTTCAAATACACCCCTGGTGCCTTACTAGCTGAATGCTGATATCTCTCTCACTTAATTTCTTCTTTCTATATAATACAGTTAAAACTCTGTATTTCACAGAGGATTTAGGATTAAGTAATACATGTAAAAAGCATCCAGCATGTTAATAAATATAAAATATATATAAAATATATAAATAATTTATAAATATAGTAAAATATAAAATAAATAAAACTAAAGAACACAATGTGTTCTTATTGTACTCACTGCTGGCGACTTTCCCTTTGTAACACATTTTGTAACAGAGCTAAACTTTTACACTGCCAAAACAATCCACATTTTTCTTTGTAATTTTTCATTGCTTTTATTTTTAAAATTATTTTTGAAAATAGTACACCTGATACAAAATTAAAAGGCTGAAAATTGTGTGATAATTTCCTGTAAATAGTAATTGTTAGGTTGAAGAATAATTGTGCTTGTAATTTTGGAAGAATGGCAAGTGACTCTTAGAGGTTCTATTATTAATTTATAATCTCACTGGCACAGTATGTCTGCATCAACTTTTAGGTCTTAAATAATCTAGAAGGTTAAAAATTATATTTCAGAATAATTTTAATTTGCACTTCTATTACTTCTGAGATTGATAATCTTTTAATATGTTTAGGGGATATTTCTCCCTTTCTTTTTATCAACTGCCTATTTATCCGTTCCTCTGTTTTCTATTAGGTTACTGGCCCCTGCCTCTTTAAAAACTGAGGTATAATTGACATACAACATATTAGCTTCAGGTGTACAACATAATGAGTCAATACTTGTATATACTGCAAAATGATCATCACAGTAAGTCTGAAGTTAACATCTGTTACCATATATAGTTACGGATTTTTTTTTCTTGTAAGGAGAAATTTTAAAATCTACTCTCTCAGCAACTGTCAAACATGCAATATAACATTATTAACTATAGTCACCATGCTATAAATCACATCACCACTTATTTATAACTAGAAGTTTGCACCTTTTTGGCCACACCCCCTCCAACCCCAACCTCTGGCAACCACTAATCTGTTATTTTTGAGTTTTTTTTTTTAAGAGTCTACATATAAATAAGATTACACTATATTTGTTTTTCTCTGATTTATTTCTCTTAGCATAATGCCCTTGAGGTCCATCCATGTTGATGCAAATGGAAAGATTTCTTCTTTTTAATGGCTGATTATTCTATTGTGTGTGTGTGTGTGTGTGCATGCATGTGTATATATGTATGTATGTACGTATGTGTGAGTGTATAAAAACACTTCTTTATCCAGTCATCTATTGATGGACACTTATGTTGTTTTCCTATCTTGGTTATTGTAAATAATGCTGTAATGAACATGGGATGTATATATCTTTTCTAGTGTGTGTTTTTTTTTTCTGCAGAGCCATATCCAGAAGTGGAATTATTGGATCATATGGTAGTTCTACCTTTATTTTTTTGAGGACACTCCACACTGTTTTCCATAGTGGCTGCACCAATCAATACTGAATAAGGGTTTCCTTTTCTTCACATCCTTGCCAATACTTGTTATTTCCAGTCTTCTTGATAACAGCCATTCTAACAGACATGGGATAATATCTTTGTGGTTTTGATCTGCATTTCCCTGATGATAAGTGATACTGATCATATTTTGATATCTGTTGGCCATCTGCATGTCTTCCTTGAAAAAATATCTATTTAGCTCTTCTGTCCAGTTTTAATTGAATTGTATGCTTTTTTGGGCCATTGAGCTGTATGAGTTTTGTATATATTTTTGAAATTAACTCTTTATCAGATACATGATTTGCAAATATTTTCTCCCATTCAGTAGGTTTCCTTTTAATTTTGTTGATGTTTTCTTTTGCTCTGAAGCTTTTTAATTACTGGTTATTGGCCTTTTAAAATGATGTGCAAGAGCTCTTTACATAGAAAAGAAAAAAGTCATTTGTGATAGAAGTACAACATTTCTTTTCATGGCTTGTCTGTCTTTAGACTTGGTTGACAATGCAGAAATATTTCCCCCTTTGCTCCCCTACTCTCTCCAGATCAGTTAAAAGACACACACAGAGAGAAAGCAGGCTTCCCCGGAGGCTCCGTGTAAAGGCTCTGTCTGCAACGCAGCAGATGAAAGACAGGGAGGCTCAGTCCCTGGGCTGGGAAGATCCCCTGGAGAAGGAAATGGCAACCCACTCCAATATTCCTGCCTGTGAAATCCCATGGACTTCTGGGCTTCCCTGGTGGCTCAGATGGCAAAGAATCTGCCTGCAATGAGGGAGAGCTGGGTTCTATCCCTGCGTTGGGAAGATCCTCTGGAGGAGGGCATGGCAACTCACTCCAGTATTCCTGCCGAGAGAACCCCCATGGACAGAAAAGCCTGGTGGGCTACAGTCCACAGAGCCACGAAGAGTTGGACACGACTGAGCGACTAAACAGCAGCAGCGTGAGAGGCACATTGATGGAGGCTGGGACACAGACGTGGGAGACAGACAAGAAAGAAAAATGCAGGACAGTGTCATGAGGTAATCAGGGAGCTATAAAGCAGACTGGATTCATACCAAGGGGAAGGAATGTGTATATATATATATATCAAGGAATGCTTCTTGGCAGAAGTAAAATCTGAACTGAGTTTTAAAGAGTAAGATAGGAATTAGATGAAGTGGGACACAGCAGGCCTTAGAGACAGTATAGAAAGATTTGGGAAACAACAGGACTTTAAGACTGTAACAGGTAGTTTTAAATCTAGTCAGAAAGACTTACTTTAACTCATCTGGCAGAGCACAGTGTTCATTGTAGATATAGAGCTTTGTTCTTTGATTTAGTCATCATACTCTATTTTTGACAAATCATAAAACTGCCAAGAGTACCATATACTGGAGAAATGGGTTAATTAATGATGAGATCCTAGAACATTTAAAAACTTGTTCTAGTTTTCTGCTTCCTATATACTATATGTTTACACATACATTTAAGATGTGTGTGTCTGTGTATGTATGTACGTACACATGTGTATGTATGTATGTACGTGTGTGTGTTCAGTCATGTCCGATTCTTTGAAATTCCATGGGCTGTAGCATATATAAATATATATAAAATTTCTATTTAAACTCTAAATGAAGCCTCAATTTATAGTAAATCAATCCAAAGAAGAATTATTAGTTTTGCAAAGCGAATGTAACACACTGGTTAGAAGCACAGATTGTAAGACTTTTTACAAAGAGAAACAACAGCTTATTGGTTAAGAGCACAGACTGTGTGGGTTTAAATCCTGGTTCTGCTGAGTGATTTGGGGCAAGATCAAAACTCTATGCAAAACGGGGTTAAGGGTGGTACCTCCCTCTGAGGGCTATTAAGGGAATTCCTAAGGGCTTCCCTTGAGGCTCAGCTGGGAAAGAATCTGCCTGCAATGCAGGAGAGCTGGGTTCAATCCCTGGGTTGGGAAGATCCCCTGGAGAAGGGAAAGGCTACCCACTCCATTATTCTGGCCTGGAGAATTCCATGGATTATATAGTCCACGGGGTTGCAAAGAGTCAGACACGACTGAGCAACTTTCACTTCACTTAAGAAATATAAAGCACTTATCTAGTACATATAAGCTCTATTAAGCGTTCAATATCAGTTTAGTTATTCCCTGTAGAAGCAACTTCTATTTAAAGCTAGACCATTAGTGCTTAAGTCAATTTCTGCAGGTTTACCAGTATAAATATCTTTATAAACTTTGAGTGTGCTTTATAATGAGCAACCTCTATCCTATTACTCTATCTAAAAATATTACAATGCTTTCAGACCCTAAGTTCTGAGGACTGCCTAGGAGACTGGGCTGTACCACTAACTCGTATTAATGCGGGCAAGTTTCTTACCAATGTGTGCCTCAGTTTCCTTTTCTAAACGGATTACCTAAAAAAGTTATTATAAATATAAATGAGCTTATACATGTACAGATTAGAAAAGTACAAATGGCAAGTACTCAACAAATCTGATATTACCAAATATTGAGTATAATGTTCTCAAACTGGTAAAAGTGCATCTATCTTTTTTCACACCTTTGATTAGTATTCCCAAATTGCTTTTCTAAAAGGCCTATTCACATAAACAATCCGTGAGAACACAGTGTTCACCACATCCTTACTAGGTGGGGGGAGGTGGGGGTTGGAGCAGATCGTGCCTGGGGCCAGGTTTTAGGTCACGCCAGTCGGCGAAGCGAGTGCACACGGTGAGCAGTGATAATGTCGGCCACCCACCTGCCTTGAAAAAATAAACTAAAAAAAAAACCAAAAAACAAAAAACAACTTTCCAAGGTCATAAAGCTCCACATATAAGCTTTAATACAGCAAAAGTAGTTTGTGGAAAAGTCTTTTTATAAAACACATTTGTTTTTACTATTACACATATACGAATTAATGATATTAGTCTTGTTGAAAACATAGAAATGCAGGCACTTGAATTTTAAAAGAGAATTTTCCTCTATGAATATGAAGTGGGAGAAAGATTTATAATGAAGACAAAATGACCAGTAACAAATTGAAACAGCATATTACTAGTGCTTTCTACCTTTTTGAAGTGATCATATACATTTCTGTTTTATGTTCACAACAAAGTAGGCCATATTTTCATATGTAGAAAATGAAGCATAAATCCTTTTAATGTGTGTGATTTGAAATTTTAAATGACTACCAAGTGGCAATTTTAATCAGTATTCAGATCATTTAACTCCCAGTCATGAGTTTCACGAAAACACAAACACAACACTACTGGAACCATTAATAGTTAGACAGTGCTCTCTGTCCCCCTGCATTCTCATCCCCTCACCCCTTTCTCTTACTGGATCACTTCTTTCAGCCTACACCTACACTTCCGGGGAGAACGCTGGGCCCTGGACCCCAAACCCTGCTCCCCCTACAGCTTCAGGAGCTACCTTCCCTTTACAGGCCACACTCCAGGACAGGCTTATCCACAGCACCTGGCTCCAGTGTCTCATCTCTCGCTCTCTAGATCCACTTCAACTGATGTTCTGTCCTTACTATTATCCTTCAACTGACCCATTAAGGTCACCAAGGAATTTCATGTTGGTATCGCCTATTTCCTGGCTCTTATCTTACTTGCCCAAGAAGAGGTACACAGCTAACGACTACTTCCTGATGAACCTTCTTCCCTTGGCTCTAGGGTATTATGTGCACCTAGCTTTACTCCCTCCACACTCACATCTTTTTTTTTTTTTTTTTTACTAATTTCCTTAGCCAGTCATCTCCTTAATCTCTAAATTTGGGAAAGCCCAGGGCTCAATCCTTGAACCTCTGTTTATCTTCACTTACTCTATTGATACCATATGGCCTCACAATTTATAAGTCCATCTATAGGCCAAGACCCCTCCTTGAATACCAGACTTTGAGTACAATTCCCTTCTCAACATCTCCACTTACATGTCTTTAGAGGCATTTCACACCCATCACGTACAAACTTTACGCCTAACCTTTCCCCTCAGAGCTGCCCCTCCCAGACTTCCCATCTCTATGAAAAAACTTTTTCTTCGTTTCCTTCTTTGGGCTCCAAACCTTAAGAGTCATGCTGTGTACTAATACAGCTCCTCCTCTCACATCTTATTAAACCATCAGCCACTGGCGCTACTCACAGCTCTGTCACACCTGGGCGACTGCAGCGCCCCCTAACCTCTCCCCTTTTGTTCTTCTGGTCTATAATCTGCTCTCAACACAGCCACCAGGGGACTGGGCTTTTGAAAATGTTACTCTTATAATGTCACTCTGCTGCTCAAAACCCACAGAAAACCTTCACACCTCCTTCAGTTTAAAACTCTAATGTCCTACGGTTACCCATACGCCCCTGTCTGACCTGGTCCTCTATTAACTTCTGACTTCTTTGGCCTCGCCTCCCACTCCGTGTTCCCTCGACTCCAGTCTCGCTGGCCGTTCTGTTGTTCCTCGGGTACGCCAAGCCTTCGCTTACCTCAGGGCCCCGGCCCTTGCTGCCCCTCTACACAGAGCATCCCTCCCTCATGCAGCTGCAGGCCTCATTTCCCCACTCCTTTTGGTATTTGCTCAAACGCCACAACTTCAGGAAGCATGCTCCGACCTGATATGTAAAACTCTAACCACCTCCCTGCACCAGCAGCACGCCCTCACCTGCTCTGGGTTTCTCCGTGCCATCCAGTCACCACCTAACGTTTTTTTGTTCTATTCATTGAACATTTCTCTTCCTTCCACTAGAATGTAAGCTCCATGAAGACCGGGCTTTTGTCTGGTTTAGACACTGCTTTATCTTCTGAACATAGAACAATGCTTGGGGTAGTACTGGTGCTCAATATATATTGTAAGCAAATAAATGAAAGATCAAAGGAACAACTGAATAAATGGTGACATAAATGTCAACATGGGGTTGGTAAATAGGTTTCATCTTGAATGACAAATACAAATGATTGATACAGCTGCATGAAATGTTGTGTAGAGAGAGACAGAGATGCTAATCACAGTACACTAAACTATAATATCCTGCAAGGTTCTTCAGACTAATCATTAGCAAAGACTAGTACACACAGAAAATGACTGAGTGATAGGTTAAGCAAGATTAATGACAAGCTACACTTAAATGGAATTAGTGAATAAAAGACAAACAGTATTTCAGAGTGTGTGAGCAGCTATCTTTTACCTTTATGAAAGTTGGCCTATTCTGAGAACTATTTAAAGCATCCTTCTTATCTGTTCTTTAGTAATACTAATTTTGTTTTCTAACTCCTAAAAATTTTACCTATACATAATAAAAAAATTTAATAGTCACTTATCATACAATCCTTTCACCATCACTGAATACATTATTATTCAGGATTAATTATAAACTCAAGGCACTTACATTCTGTTTCATGCTTATAGGCTCCTAAGGTAAGTTGACGAGACGTTGTCAATAATTGTTGCATCATTGCTGTTGGGTCTTGAAATATCTAATGAGATAGAATGGAAAAAAAAGCCCTGTAACTTCAAAATCCAAATTGAAAATTCTTTAAAAATTCTCATTATAAAATCTTCTTACCATTTCATCATAAAACTCTGAAACCACTGTTTTTTTCCCCAGCATTGCATTGGTGTCTGACTGAAACAGCTTTAATAAATGATACAGTGTTACCTGTAAAATAAAAACAGATATGACATCCGTGGATGGTTTTTATCATCATCATGTGAGATTATCATTTCTCTAACTGATTTACAGTTACAGAAGTAACTACTAAAGTAAAGCAGTAAATCTATCAAATTCAGGATCTTGTCTCAACTACAACTTACAGTGGCAGATCATCAGAACTGTCTGTACTTCTATTTTCCTATTAGGTATTAACATGTATCCATATCTATTCACTATGTATGCTACAAAGAGGATAAGAAAAGACTGGCTACAAAGCATTCCAGAGAGTGACTATATATAAAAATAACACAAGATACAGCTATGCAAATTAAACTGGGAAATCACTAAGACAAAAAATCTTTTACTTATACAAATGAAATTTGCTTAACTGTGACAGGTAAAGTTTACAAATTCACTTTAAGGAAAAAACCTCTACACAGAGCATCCCTCCCTCATGCAGCTGCAGGCCTCATTTCCCCACTCCTTTTGGTATTTGCTCAAACGCCACAACTTCAGGAAGCATGCTCCGACCTGATATGTAAAACTCTAACCACCTCCCTGCACCAGCAGCACGCCCTCACCTGCTCTGGGTTTCTCCGTGCCATCCAGTCACCACCTAACGTTTTTTTGTTCTATTCATTGAACATTTCTCTTCCTTCCACTAGAATGTAAGCTCCATGAAGACCGGGCTTTTGTCTGGTTTAGACACTGCTTTATCTTCTGAACCTAGAACAATGCTTGGGGTAGTACTGGTGCTCAATATATATTGTAAGCAAATAAATGAAAGATCAAAGGAACAACTGAATAAATGGTGACATAAATGTCAACATGGGGTTGGTAAATAGGTTTCATCTTGAATGACAAATACAAATGATTGATACAGCTGCATGAAATGTTGTGTAGAGAGAGACAGAGATGCTAATCACAGTACACTAAACTATAATATCCTGCAAGGTTCTTCAGACTAATCATTAGCAAAGACTAGTACACACAGAAAATGACTGAGTGATAGGTTAAGCAAGATTAATGACAAGCTACACTTAAATGGAATTAGTGAATAAAAGACAAACAGTATTTCAGAGTGTGTGAGCAGCTATCTTTTACCTTTATGAAAGTTGGCCTATTCTGAGAACTATTTAAAGCATCCTTCTTATCTGTTCTTTAGTAATACTAATTTTGTTTTCTAACTCCTAAAAATTTTACCTATACATAATAAAAAAATTTAATAGTCACTTATCATACAATCCTTTCACCATCACTGAATACATTATTATTCAGGATTAATTATAAACTCAAGGCACTTACATTCTGTTTCATGCTTATAGGCTCCTAAGGTAAGTTGACGAGACGTTGTCAATAATTGTTGCATCATTGCTGTTGGGTCTTGAAATATCTAATGAGATAGAATGGAAAAAAAAGCCCTGTAACTTCAAAATCCAAATTGAAAATTCTTTAAAAATTCTCATTATAAAATCTTCTTACCATTTCATCATAAAACTCTGAAACCACTGTTTTTTTCCCCAGCATTGCATTGGTGTCTGACTGAAACAGCTTTAATAAATGATACAGTGTTACCTGTGAAATAAAAACAGATATGACATCCGTGGATGGTTTTTATCATCATCATGTGAGATTATCATTTCTCTAACTGATTTACAGTTACAGAAGTAACTACTAAAGTAAAGCAGTAAATCTATCAAATTCAGGATCTTGTCTCAACCACAACTTACAGTGGCAGATCATCAGAACTGTCTGTACTTCTATTTTCCTATTAGGTATTAACATGTATCCATATCTATTCACTATGTATGCTACAAAGAGGATAAGAAAAGACTGGCTACAAAGCATTCCAGAGAGTGACTATATATAAAAATAACACAAGATACAGCTATGCAAATTAAACTGGGAAATCACTAAGACAAAAAATCTTTTACTTATACAAATGAAATTTGCTTAACTGTGACAGGTAAAGTTTACAAATTCACTTTAAGGAAAAAAGATTTGATTTCAAAAGGAATGATCAATACTAAAATGCTCAAGTTTTAAAGGACAAGTGAATTTCTCTAGTGTAATATTAAGATTATAACATAAGTAGCATAATAAATGAAAAGTTAGCCACTGATAATTCACTTCAGCAAGAGCAACCTCTCTTCAAAATACTTGGAAACAGATATAATAAGACATCAATGGAAAAGCTGTGTAGCACAATGTATGATTATTTGAACAAAACAAAATCTAGCAGGTAAAACATCAGGAGTTCATGCTGAAGTTGGAGAACCAATTGAGATGCCTTGAAGAATTTTCCAAAAAGTCAGCTAAAATCATCATAAAAAGCAGGCATCATATTTAAAGCAGATAATTTCACAAATTTCTGAGATGACAGAAAGCAGATGAGACTACACCAATTGATAACCCATAATGGGGAAATCCACAGCCTAAAAACTTAGGGAAGAAAACAGCATCAGAGGTGAGAGACAGTGGCCCCAGTGGAGCCCGAGAGAGACTGGAAGCCCAAAATTGGCAGGTGTAGAAATCAAGAATGCTTTGGGTGGCTGGATTGGTTAATCTTCCTTTTCCTTTTACTCACAGACAAGAGAGCATATCCTCCTGTGGATCCTAGAATTCCTCACCCAATCAATCACGTATGAAGTAAAAATAAAGATATTTTTAGAGAGCAAAATAAAAATTTTGCTCTGGAAATTTCTCAGGCATCCTTTCTGAAGAAATTCCTCCAGCAAAATGAAAAAAGAAATATGAAGATAAAGGATCATGTGTCATCCTCAGAAGTTGAGACACTATCTAAAATTGAAAAATCCGAACTTAGGGATTTAAATACATCAGATACATGGGAGTTAATTCCCAGAGGAACTGAAAACAGTAACTGTAGTTCTCCTGAAGAAAGGGTCAGAAATGGGGTAACTTCTATGTTATGGAGTTAAATTATATCCCCCCAAAGATAGTGAAGTATCTATACTTATCCTCAATACCTGTGAATGTGACCATATTTGCAAACAGAGTCTTTGCAGATGTAATCAAGATGAAGCCTTGCAGGGGCCCTAGTCCAATATGACTGATGTCCCCATAAAAACGGGAGAGACACAGAGATGGGGAGTGAGAGACGGCCATGTGACAATGGAGGCAGAGACTGGAGTTACGCTGCCACAGCCAAGGAACGGCTGTGGCTACCACAAACTAGAGGAGGCAGGAAAAGGTCCTCCCCAGAGGCTCTGGAGAGAGCATGGCCAACACCTTGAAACTGGACTTCTAGTCTCCAGAACCAAGAGAACAAGCTGCTGTTTTTACCCATTCAGTTTGTGATACTGTTATGGCAGCCATAGGAACCTAATACAGGAAGCTTGCACATTTTATTTTTTAATCTTTTAAAAACTATGTATTATGTGTTTTATAATTTGAGCAGTATTGAAAACTACATTATAAAACTGCCCTTTCCCAAACTTATTCAGATTTTGCGAGGCATTCATGCAGATACAAACAATGAAAAATTTCAAGACAGATGTCTCTAATTTACACTGATGCTTGAAGACTCTTAGAGCAATGAAAATGCCTATATCTGCTGGCAATATTTCTAGGAATAAAACCCTAATATTAGTATTTTTGCTTTTAGAAACAACCATTCCTTTTACATAGTGGCTTGATCTGTAATAGGTTACTGGATAACGGAAGCAAATCACAAGTTACCCATGTCTTTCTTTTATAATTTAAATAAATCTTCATATGACTTATTTTCTATAAGAGTCAACTGAAAAACTATAATAGTTTCATTATACTAAAAGAACACGAGAACAGTTTGGAGTGGATAAAATTCAGGTCCATGTAGATCTACATGAAAACTTATCAATAAATTAATCACTGCAGAAGTGCAAGAGAATGTATTGCCTTCCCTTCCCAAGAGTGGACTTTGACAGCTGTCTCATAATGAGGTTACATGATATAATGATTTCTTTCGGAGATGTATTTTCCAAGGAGGGGCAGGGAGATGAGATGGGGGAAACAGACGAGGAAGCAGACAGGTAAAGCAGCACATTCTCAAAATAACATGAATTCAAAGCAACCTTACGTTAACAAGAATCTCAGCTCTAACAACATTAACAACTTCTCCCTCTCCCATCTCTCAATATCTGCCATATTCTGTGCTCTACATTCCCAAACAGACTATTTTGATCAAGGATAGGTGCAGTGTCTGATCTTTGTATCCTGCCCCATGAGAAGTATCTTGCAAATATATTTAACAATTTTTTGCCAAATAGAGTATCTGTGAGAGTATCTCAGAAAGACAAGAATGGTAGGAGACACCGAAACGTTACCACATGGAAGATACTTAAATAACCATTTAGATGGATCTTCAGGAGGAAAATAAAAACAAACTAATCTATGAATAGTTATCAGGAAAAAGTTCAAGGAAGCTTAATATAAAGTAGAACTTTCTGAAAGCTAGAACTTCTCCAAATCTGAACAGGATGTTTCACTTCATGATGGAAGTCAGTCTTCTTTTCTTACTATACTGGAGCGGCTAAAGGAAACTTCTATGTAGTGGTCTATGTCAACTGGTCCTAAAGCTTACTGTGCATCAAAATTACCTGCTGGCCCCTCTCCAAACCTATGAATCACCATCCAGAGAATGGGGACTAGGTGTCTGAACTTCTAAAAAACACCTCAGGCATTTCTGGTGTAGTTAGTTACAGCTCTATCACTGGCCCAGGTGCTATTCAACTTCTTTAAAAGCACACAGTTTTACAAATATAATTGGATAATTAAAGTGTAAATGGTGCTGAAGGACTGAATTCAATCTATCAAGATGAAAAGTGATGATGATGAATGTTAAAACCCTGAAAGTGGAGTTAAACACCGGCCATACAAATGTGCAATGAAATAGCCTGACTTGTAACTCTTTGTGTTTAACAATAAAACAGCCTTAGTGGTTTTAGTCAAAAGAATAAAGGAAAGAGTATGACATCCGAATGCAAATACACAGGTTCAAAAACTAGCTCTACCACAATTAACTGTATTTTTGAGCACAAGACTTTATCTCTGAGCCTTAGTATCCTCATCTCTAAAACAAGGATCTCACCAACCTCACCAAGTTGCTAAGGGCTCAAAGTGAAAACTTTGGGGACTTTTTACATTATCTAGCAACAACCTGAAGAAGGGAGCAAATGATGAAAGGAATCATGAATAAGATAAAGCTGCTAGTACTGATGACAGTTTGAAAAAGTAAAAAGGCATTCTAGGGTTTTTAACTAAAAAACTGGACACTCCCATTTCAGAGAGTATATGGACTCAACTTGTTTATTACTAATAACCAAAAAATAGTAATGAATTTAAGACATTTTTCTTGGCTGTAATAATCGTATAATTCCTATGAATTCTTTCAAATAACTGTTTGTACCATATTCCTTCTTTTTATACTTGGAAAATAAAAGATTTTTGAAAGGCACTTCATTTAAAAAAGAAAAACCTTAATGCATGGCAAGATATAACAAAACATAAACTTATATAAAGTATACCTCAATAAATAAATGTCAACATACAGCTTGTATATGTTGTGTAATATACTATTACCTTTTCACAATTACTAAAAAATCCATTTTATATCTACAAAGAGTAACATTACTCACAGGTCTTTCATTAGGATCAATGAAAAATATTTTGATGATTATTTCGAATTCACCCCATCCTGTTTCAGTAATCTCATATGGAGGCTTAGTAACAACTAAAAGAAAGAAGAAAGAAAACAATTCAGAATTTTAAACTGCTGATACCGTTTCCTAGTTCTTTTAAATTTTGTATATTATGAATCACAGAACTACTGTACCTCTTAAAGGATTGCCATAGCTTTCATGTAATTTAAATTGGATTTTCTTTACATATGCTGACATATCCTAAAATACAGAGGAATTAATTAGTTCTGCCATCTACATACAAAAATTAGGAGGGAAATACATTGAGCATATGTACTAATTTTATAGATAAGAAATGCCTAAGAAATATGAATTACAACCTGGAGGTTTGTTATTTTAAACAAAGGAAGCTTGTGCCGGATTCTTTCATAATTCATCATATACATAAACACATATGCCTCCATTCATTGTGCTGCAAATCCTATGTTTATGTACCTTTGAGTATTATTTGATATATCTCTGTTGACAATACTCAAAATTGATTTTTATTTTCCCATAAAAACAAGTTCATTTCTTCCATGTGGTAGTAGAATGTATCATTACTTCATTTTATTGCTTAATAATATTTCACTGTATGAATACACCATATTTTATTTATCCACTTATCAGTTTGGAGACATTTGGAAAACTATGAATAATGTCACAATGAATATTTACATACAAGTTTTTGAGTGGACTTTGAAAGTTTTTTGTCTTTTAATTTTAATACAGGACAGTATAAATGCTAAAGAAGAAACATTATCAAGCTTAGTTGGTTTCACTATTTTAATTTAGTCTTTTGGTGAAATATACCAAGAAAAGATAAACAGAAATCAAAGGTCAACTAGAATCTTCTTTGCCCTTGAAATTAAGATAACTTTGGGTTGCATCACTACTTGTTGTGCTGTATTTTGCTCAATTTCAACTCAGGAGGCCTACATTCAACGAGTCACCTTTAAATTGTGGCTGCACTGAGTTCTATGTGGGAGTCCCTGGTGGCGCTAGTGGTAAAGAACCTGCCTGCCAGTGCAGGAGATAAGAGATGTGGGTTCGATCCCTGTGTGGAAGACCCCCTGGAGAAGGACATGGCAACCCACTCCGGTATTCTTGCCTGAAGAATCCCACGGACAGAGGAGCCTGGAGGGCTACAGTCCATAGGGCTGCAAAGAGTTGGACACAACAGAAGCAAGTTAGCACGCACGTACTGAGCTGAGTCACTATAAACTGTCCTATATGGCAGTTTAATGTGTGGCATATTGTGTTTTATTTACCTCTAAATTGATCATCTCTTAATTTATTAAACATGACTGAACACAGTGTGGGGTTACTGGGAAGACGATCCTTAAAACTGACACTATAAAGTTATTTTGAATAGTTACTAAATTCCTTCACAAAATGTGCCCCCTCCTTGATAAAGTATAAGTCCAAAATTCTTCTCTCTTACATGTGGTAAAAGTATTTGAAGCAGGATACCTTTATCACTATCAAGCTATGAATCTATCCTGTGGTATTTGGCACCGTTTTCAACTTTTCAGAAGTTAACATCTCTTCATGACGCCTCTAAACGCTTTTTCAGATGTTTCCAGAAGGTTACAAATGATTACAATGATAACATAAATTCTCACTTGCCTTATTGCTTCCACTATATTGGATCAAAAACAGCGGACATACAGAATGAAGGGTTTTAAACAGAGGAATACTTATTCATTCAGTACCTGCTGAATACCTACTACGTACTGACAGCATTCCAGGCAGTAGAGATTCAGCCACAAAACCAAACTACCAGCAGCCAGATTATGCAGCAGTTTCGTCTTTCATCTTCTCTGATTATCAAATTATAACATAAATTTATCATTCCTGAAACACGTGATTACATACTAGGCTACTTTAAGGGGTGGTGATTAGAAGACATACTATGTATACAGGATAGTTCTTGTTACCATCGTTGTTGTTTAGTCACTAAGTTGTGTCTAGCTCTTTTGCGACCCCACAGACCATAGCCTGCCAGGCTCGTCTGTCCATGGGCTTTCCTATGCAAGAATATTGGAGTGGGTTTCAATTCTTTCCCAGGGAATCTTCCTGACCCAGGGACCGAACCCACCTTCTCTGCATTAGCAGGTGAATTCTTAACCACTGAGCCTCCAGTGACGCTCATAACTTAATTTTAATTAGAAAACAGTTTTGGAAAATTGATTTCTACTAACAAGCATACAAAGATGACAGCTCTTAACTTTATTCTTTCAACTTATGGGGTAACATTTCTACAATGGGCAATTTCTTTTTTAACAAAATGTTTTATTCTGTACTGCAGTAAAGCTGATTAACAATGCTATGATAGTTTCAGGTGAACAGTGAAAGGACTCGGCCTTACATATACATGGACCCATTCTCCCCTCCCAACAACATTCAGCAGAGTTCCAAGGACTACACAGTAGGACCTTGTTGATTATCCTACAATGGGACAATTTTATTATCAGTTACTAGAAAATGATATTACAATTTATCTTCAAGCAAAACAAACCATAGCTTCAAAAAGGTTTTAGGAAAAAGAAATATTCACCTCATTTCGATATGGTTTTACATATACTGTCCACTGATGGGTGTGCCCATCTTCTTCTCTTTTCTTTCCAAAATATCGAGCAACATTACCATAAACTATTGGTTTAACGATAGTAACACCCTAAAAGAAAAACAATTTCAACATAAATTAATATTGTATCATTACCCAAATAAACAGAAGGAAAGCTTTGAAAGCCTGATTAAAGAAGCGGCAGGCAGCCTAACAACCTAGGTTTGCATAGACCATGGATTTCCCTTAATAAAATCAATTCCAGACAATTAGCCTCATTTTATATTACCACAAATAACTAAACATCACAGTAATTATAATGTTCCCACTTTGAAAACGTCTATTTAAATCATATAAGGTACTTTGAGAATTTCTATTTTTGCTCTGGTTCTTTTTTTTAAATAAAGAAACAGAAAAGGTTCTTTATTTACAAACTTTAAAGACCAACCAGGAATTAATAGTCACTAACTTTGATTGTCATCACCTGATGGTAATGTCCTTATTAATCAGCTTACAGCAGGGTTTTCCAAAGCACAGTACAAAAATTAAAGGCAGTCTGGAAGATAATTTTTTGGTAGAATAAGGGAAGCATTTTCATTTTATTACTTGTGCTTAATCTGTATTAGAAAAACCACAACTACAACTAGCAATTCAAATCACAATTTCAAGAATAGTAATGCTTAGGAAAGGACTTTAAAAATTAGATTTAAACAAACAAGTTAAATATTACATTTGAATTCAGATAATGGCAGAGGCACTTGGAGGATTCAAGCTTGATAAACACTTGACTAACGGCATGTTTGCTGCCTCTGTGCTCAGTTCTGTGATGCATGTACCTGTTCCTGTGCACATTTCAGAACTGTAAAGGCAGATTATGATGAAAAGGAGAGAGAAAAAAAATTTCAAGAGAAAATGCTGAATGTTGCACATGAACTTGAGACTAACTGCTCAATAGTAAGAATGTACCTGAAGGTCAAGACCAAGATATATCATATGTAAAAAGTGCTGGGCCAATGTAATCAAGTAATAAGAAGAGGAAAAGCGGTGAACAAATAGAAAAACTTTTTCTTTCCTTTTTTTTTATACTTGTTATTCTGTATTGGGGTATAGCCGATTAACAATGTTGTGATAGTTTCAGGCGAACAGCAAAGGGACTCAGCCATACTTACACATGTATCCATTCTCCCCCAAACTCTCCTCCCATCAAGGCTGGGAGACTTGCACCTGCTATACAGTAGGTTGATCATAAAGGGAAAAACTTCATTGTGATTAGGCAATCCTCAAATAAATTCAATACCTATTAGCCTAAAGTTAACTTAGAAGAAGGCAAACAGTTTGCATGGGAATTAAAAAAAAAAAATCACAGCAAGTGCACTTTTGGGGCACACAAAGATAGGGCCTCACCTTTAAGGACTGAATGAATAAACACAAAGGAGCACTGACAAGGTGAGTAGATAATAGATTCCACTGCTCCAGTGTTGACAGGACCTTGTAGAGTTCTCCAAATATTGAAAGGGCATTCATCTGTCAGCGGGCTTTCTACTAGGATGAAATTTATCTAAATTGGAAAAAGGTGCTTACAAGATCAGGTAACAATCAGCAAGGAGAAGAGATAGGTCCCTAATTTTAAGTTTTAAATGACTAACTCACATCCATTTTTGGAGGAAAAGCATTTGAGGACTACAAGCCTAATCTCACTTCATTCTCGACTTACAAGACTTTTAGAACCTAACATGATTACAAATTGAGAAAGCTCTGTTGAGTTCTTCTCTGAAAGCCAATCTTATAATCCTCTTTTCTGTTTTCTTTTTTCCCTTATTTTTTAAAATTATTTTTCAGTCTTTTTATAATCCTCTTTTCTGTAGTACTTTCTTATCATTCCAAAATCTGGCCCCCAAAGCAGAGGGAAAATATGTTTATGAAACTTTTGCTATTAATTTTACCTGGCCATCTTCTTTCCCCTTCCATTTAATTTCAGTAACTTTTGAAACTTTCAAAGTGCTCTCACGTTAAAGCATTAAAGCATTGTGTATGACAACTGCATATACAGCATAAATTTATGTGAACAATATGACATGGAGAAGGATTCTTAAAACCTAGAGCAACTAGACTGGTGCAAAAATTGGGTGATTTCTTTTTGAAAAAATTTTTCTTTCTGTGGTACATAAAAATCTGAAGGGGGTAAAAACCAATGTTATATCACGAAGCAGTGGTCGTGACATAAAAAATTAACGTGCCAGGTAATGTATTAAAGTGGGAGGGAAATTTGTCACGGTGTCAAACATCACGTTAGGCTCGATTATAACTTTCATTACAAACTAAGAAACTAATAACGTGAACTGACTGTTGTCTATATGCCAGGCATCTTCTTTGCCTTGATTAATTAGTATCCTGGCCGTAGCCTTGAGGCTTTATGAACACTACGAACTTGGGGAAGTCTTCGGAACTTTTCTTTCCGCCAGCTCTATCGGTACCACAGTTGTAAACACTGGGAGTAACACTGCCTTTGTACGGCTGCAATAGGGGCTGAGAGAATCCGGTAAAGCATTCACCCACGTGCTTCCCCAGCGCGGAATCGGCTGTTGTTATCCCACAATAGGTGGGTGCCCCGAGACCCCGATTTACAGGTGACCTGGGTTAGCAGCGGAGGAACACCAAGCCAGGATCTGCCAGCCCTCCAAGTGGCTTCTTCCTTGGCGACGACGTCCATCTCACCCCCAGGCACCACGGATTATGTCAGTTTATTCTGGCTGGGATGGAAGGGAGGGGGGTGACACCTGAGGTTGGGGCCCAGTGAAACCACAATTTTTCCTTTGGGGCTCTGAGTCGCCGCCCTCCTAGAAAACCCGGGCAACAAGGAGCGAGAGGGAACAAGCTGACCCTGCCCAGGCCGCGCTAGAAAGAGCCAGGACGAGAAAGACACTCCGTGAGAGCAGACACCGGCCGCGCACTGACCTTCACTCTCCCGCCGGAGTCAGGCCCAAATTCGGCCATTCTCTTGAACATATTGTCTTACGGTAGAAGCCGCCGCAGCCAGGGAAAGAGACCGGGGCCGGCGGGCTCGCCGCTCCCTCAGAGACCCCACTCCTCCCGCGCGGGCCCAGGAGGAGGGTTTCTGGCCGAAGGAGGACGAGTCAGCGGGGTTCCGGTCGCCTAGGAAGCGCCAACTGCTCGCCGCGGACGGCGTCCCGGAAGCCCATTCAGCTTCGCTGTCGGTGAGGTCGGATCCGGAGTGGGCGGCAGCGGCGACGTTGTGCGCAGGCGCAACGAACTCTCTCACACTGCGCACGCGCAGGGCCATGGCGGTGGGGTGTCGCTGGACCAATCTCGGTTGGCAGGGTCCGAGGAAGGCGGGACTTTTCAGTCAGCTTGTCGCCGGCCCAGACCACCTGGCTTCGCAATGACCGAGAAACTGGCTGTTGGAGGTGATGCGTTGCCATCGCCAAAGCGTTACAGTTCTGAAATTATGTTCATGAAATCTCGTCTACTCACCGCTTTTCTTTGCGTTCACCTAGCCGTCTCAGGGGATGACAGAGGATGAGATGGTTGGATAGCATCACTGACTCAATGGATATTTGAGTAAACTCTTGGAGTTGGTGATGGACAGGGAGGCCTGGCGTGCTGCATTCCGTGGGGTCGCAAGGAGTCGGACACGGCTGAGCGACTGAACTGAAAAGTCTCAGACTTACATGGTTGCAATGATAATTTATTATTATATATTTTTATTATTTATTTTAAAATTTATTTATTAAAATTTATTTATTATAATTTATTTACTGACTTCTTCATCTCTTTCCTTCCTTTTTCTGCTCAGTTTCGATTCTAAGATCCCTAACGTGACAACAAACCTCCCCTCCTTTGCCCCTTCTGTGGTACTAACTACTTTGCAAGTTTTCTTGTTTGTTGTTCAATTGCTCAGTCCTGTCTGACTATGCCACCGCATGGGCTGGAATATACCAGGTTTCCCTGTCCTTCACTATCTCCTGGAGTTTGCTCAAATTTCTGTCCATTAAGTCGATGATGCCATCCAACCATCCTCTGTCATCCTCTTCTCCTCCTGCCTTCAATCCTTCCTAGCATCAGGGTCT